ATTTAAATCTAAAGAAAAAAAATATCTTATAAATAGTGATATGGCTTTATTTAATATTAAATAAATAAAAAAGTGTAGAAGAATTGTCTGCCTTAACAATTAAATAGAATACAAAAAATATGTTAAATTTAATGAAAATGAATAAGAGGAGATTTAACTTCTTTTTGAAAAAATTAAAGAGTTGAGAAACAAATAGACGTGTTGATCATTCTCTAACATCATTTTTAATGGATATAATTTCTAATGATTTAACACCAAATTAATCTTTAGAAGTTATGGAAAAATAAGATTCATTTTCAGATATTAATTTTTAACTAATCCAAATTTAAAAAGTTTAACATAAAATTAATTTTCATCTTAGAATGAAATAATTTTAATTATCTTTAATATTAATATAAGACGTAGAAGAGTATATCGCATCAGAATATGATATATAGGTTAATTTATTTATAGAAGACTTTCTATTATATATTTCTTAAGAAACATAAACATATCTGTTAAACTCAAATGAAATATTTAAATCGTTGATGCAATTAAAAAATGCAACATTCAACTTACTATAATTCTCATATAATTAAGTTTTAAAGTGAAATTAGAAAATCTATTAGAAGTAGAGCATCGAATCAAAAAATAAAATATAAATAAGATAATTAATCATCAGTTAGTAATTTTGAAAGATTAAATTTGATTAAAACTTTAAGATAAAATTCCAAGTTAATTGAGATTCTAATTGAATTTCATACTTAAATTCAAAAATACTTAAACTAATTTAAATTATTTAAAGTGATCTCTCATTACTTTAATAAAAACTTTATATTAGTAGATTTATAATCTATTTCAATAATTTAGAGAGAAGAACACTTAGCATTTAGAGAGTCTTTGCCAACATTTTTTAATTATCCTCATGACTATACGCCAGGATTAATTAATCTTAAGATATTTATCTCTGTTTATGTTTTATTTGAATTAACTCAAATTACTTAATAAAGAAGAAATACAAATTAAAAGATGAAATCTAATAAGAAGAATATTGTGATTTTGGGAAATATCTTAAGGTAAAGTATAAGAAATCATTGGAAATCGCATCAAATTTATAAGTTGTTGATTTAATAGAAACTAATGATGCTGAACTTTTGAAATTTTAAGTTTTTATATTCTCTAATATTTAGCCAACTTTTTAAAATAGAAAAACCCCATAAACTCTCTCTAATTAATGACTTTAATTTAAAATCATTCTTACATTCTACTAATGTTTAACCAGTTAATCATACTTTAAGTTAATAGATTTAAAAAGGGAACTTTTAATATTAAAATGAATAATCTTATATAGAAATATTAAACAGTTACATACTTAAATTCAATTTAAAAAAGATTCATGGTGTTTTCATTAATGTTTAGAAGAATTATATGTTTTCTATTACCTTTCAATATGTTATGCATATTCTCCTAAACATATTCAAAATCTTTTATAAGAGGAAACCAAAATAACTAAACATGCAATTAATTAAATAAAGAAATTTTAATTTAAATCAAAATTTTATTGTGAAACTCTCAAATGTACATAAATTAATTATAGAAAAGGTTATTAACTTTTGTTTGACTCAAATTTAAGTTAATAATAACAACAATAACTAATTTGCTAATTCTTAAATTGTAATCATAATTTAAAAGTTTAAATCAATAAATTTTAGAATTTTTGAATGATAATTTTGAATCATCAACATTAGTATTAACCTTAATAATAATTATTTATAATTATAATAATTTGAAATGGTAGATTTGATGACATAATTTTCATTTAGATTGCTTAAATGTTAAGCATTGATTTTTTTTTAAAATATCCTAGATTTGAATAAGATCTTTAATTTATTGAAAGTTTAAATAAAGGTGACAATAATTGCATTCCTTATCCAAATAAGAATAAAAAAAATTAAAGAAATATTTTAATCAATTATAAAAGGAAATTTCAAAATCATTCTTAAAATATTTCAAATTTATATATTTATTTGAATATACAGAGACATTTTGGCATTTTGATAATGTAAAATTTTATGGATAATATCTAATATTTAACATCTATTTGATTAAAGAATTAGCATCTAATTTTATTGAGACATTGAAAGTAAATTCAAATTATTAGCGTTTCATACATTTATTTGAATATTAATTAGATGTAATTGATGCAATGATGGGAAATATTGATCCAAAAAGTAACGCAATTACAAATATTTAGAGAAAAATTAACATGAATTTCATCTTAATAGATATAAAGAAAAAACCCCTTATTTATGCCATTTTAACATATTTAAAATGCAAATATCATCTTAATTTATGTGACTATGAGAATGAGTTGATATACTCTGAAAAAGTTCTAAGATATATTGCTACTTAAAATAAGATAAAGTTATAAATTCTATAATTAACAGAAGATCAGTAAGATGTAGGAATTAATTTAGGTATATAAATGTCCACTCCATAATTTCTTTAAAGAATTAAAAATATTGGAATACAACTATCTTATAGATGAAATTATGGATTCTGATTACATTCATTTATTTAATAAGGATTATATCAATGATCCCATGTTAAATCATTTGAGAATTTTGATAAACTTAGGATAAAATGTTCAAAATATTAATATTATTTTTGCTTTAGAAATAAACAAAATTCATAACGTTTATATCCCTTAATTTATAAATAATTGGGTATTATCTTGTATTTAAAAAGAAATAACAGGATATTAAAATTTTTAATAAGCTATCTCATTTTTAGTACATCCTCATATTTCTCTTATGTATTTAATAGAATATGAATTATTTTAATTCTTAAACTAAATCCAAAAGGCTCAAGATATGAATGATTAATTTTATTCTAATGAGAATAAGATGAGCTATTGAAATTAAAAATGCATACATAGAATGTTCAATTTTTACTAACATTCATTCATATAATAAGATCCACAACCACTCAAAGATCTTAAGACAATTAATTTGAGATTTAACTTAATTTCTATCTCTTCCGCTTTAGGGTATTTCTAAATTAAGTTTAATCCAAAAAGTCCTCCCATAAACCAATCAATTTTCCAATTTTTATATCCTTTTTTATTGAGGCATCTGAACATCAAAATTATACTCAAGGGTAAAACAATGATTATTATTAACCTTTAAGTTATTTTTTAAACATTCACCATTTAAATTATAATCATCAAACTTTTTTCTGATAGATTACTAATTTAATACAAATTTCACAAGCTATTTTGAACTATTGAGGTGCTCTTTCATTTCTTCTTTTTTATTTCTTCTTTAAAAAAATTATAAAATCAAAATATTTAAAAATGATAAGGATACTTTGTATATTATTCCAATAATCTCTCTTATATATCATAATATATATCTTTGATAATTATTCCCTATTTTAATACTATTTTTTTAAGTTTTAAAATTTTTGAATGTAGATTTATCATTTAACTTATTTTTTTTTCTATTA